ACACTAAGCAGTATGTCCATAATTAAAAATCTTAATAATTTATTGATAATAGTTTATCTTACTCCATTCGTCATCTTACCACAGGTTACTCTATGTATAAAAGTGATAAAAAAATTAAACTAAAAAAACGAAATATTTTTATCATAGGCATCGTGTTAAATAAAAAACGTATTTTGTATGCCACTATTCTATCTCTGTCTAGCCGGGTCATGCGATGGGCGGTTATCCAACGGTGGGTGATGTTCGAGGTTCGAGAGCGGCCGGCGACGACCTGACGGTAATACGTGGCCGCCCCCAAACTTCCTCCTACATGACGCTGTTTCGTGCTGCCGTCTTGATACCGAACCGATATCGTAAACACGGAAAATTTAATATTTCTAATGATTGTATGGTTAATTGAATTTTTCTCATTAGACGATGCACAATTAATTTTAATAATTATAATAATTAGCGTTACAAAAAAAAAAAAAAACTAAACAAATCGGTCCTGTAGAACTCCAAATATAATTGTCACAAAATCGCCTCACCTTTTAATAATATAATTGGTATCGAGCGTTACCTTATTCGCGTGATACACAAAATGTTCACCGCCCAAACGAAAAAGATCTGAACCCCGTATAACAGTGGTTTCCAAACTGCGAGACGCGTCTCCCCGGGGAGGCGCAAGAAAAACATTTTTATTGTATACCATATAAGACTATCGTATATATATTTTTTTTTAGATCGACGGTAATTTGCTTTGATTAAAAAAAAAAAAAAAACAAAAAAAAAATGTTGTTTTACCTGTTCGTGGGAGTCGCGATCACATTGTTTCGCGTGTTTGGGAACGCGTGAACCAAAAACGTCCGGGAACCACTGCCGTACAGGATGTTTTCACGTATGACAAGTTTTCCGAGCCAACGCGAGAACGTGCGACGTAAAGTTGGCCATGAACAAAACAGGAAACCGAATTGTCGTTGGCTGTTTCCATCTTTGTACGAGTGTGAGCGGCGGCGCGGGGGAAAAGTGTGATCGAACCGCGTCGCGAACAATTACTGAACCGACTGGGACGATCGTAATTAAAACCTTTCGCGTAACGTATGCTCAAAACAAACCGAATAACGGATTCGGTGAACAGCTTCGGAGATTGCCGGCGACCGACGAGATACCGTTTCACACCGGTAAACCGTACAAATAACCTGTGCATAAGGATACAGATTTGATGTGTGCGATTCTATTGTCGGTTGGAAAAATCGTAACCCATCAAACGGTTCCCGCGGGGCCTCGGCCCGCTGGCGGAAGTAAACGCGACGCGCCGCCCGGGTGTTCCGACGCGTCCGACGGCGATGGCAAACGAACAGTCCGCGGGACGCCCGTGCAAACGCTATTGTCCTCGATGTTCGCGAATCTGCACGTCATATTCGCAATCGCTTACCGGTAACGATGTGCGCGCGACAGTTGCGCGCCGTGCTATCCGCCGAACGGACGATGAACCTAGGGCGCCATCCCGTCGGGAATATTGCACGTAGGTCCATTACGCGGAACGGTCGAAAACGTGTTCTGGTCGCACGGACTCCGACCCCGTTTGACGATCGATTGTTACGAAAACGATTCCGCTCTGTCCGTTAGGTATTATTTACCGATCGGTGTTCTTGCGACCGTCATATTCGGTGCTCGAAATGGGGAGGAGGGCATCCCTCTACTTTTTTGTACTTACAGTTTTTTTCATCCCTCTACTTGTCTAGAATAACGCATTCCTCCTAAGACTTGTGTTTTAAAATTATATACTTATCATTTTTATATTTATATATAACATATTTTTTTTTTTTTTCAGTGATAATAATTGTTTTTAACATTCAGGCCCGGGCGCCCGGCTTATCGTGTTGTTTACTATAAGCCGTTTCGCAACTCGTATTATACCCGTATTTAGAGCCACGGACTAAGATAATATACTTTATGTGAACTATAAAAAAAAAAAAATAAAAAAAATATTATAGGTACACAAGGTGTGAAGAATGTTATGATGATATCAGGAAATCTGAGTTATAAGGCATCCTTCCACTTATCTTGAGCCATTTCGACCATTGGTCATATTTTCAACGCAACACAATCGATCGCCTACTCAATTGCCTGTTACTGTACGGTTTTATTCGGTTCGTTTGTTTTTAACGTTTTCGTTGTTTTCAACGCACGCGAATAGGTTGTTCAATTGTTGTACAAAATCGTTGAATAACGCATGTCATCGTCACCGATTCGAACATAAACTCGACAACGAGTTTTCCGTAAAATTTCGAAATCACTATTCGAGCAACATTTCAGACGGACCACTGCGTCAGCAAACGATTACAAATAGTCAAACAATCGTTCAAGTGCTTAGCGAATAAATACATAGTTCTGGCCCGGCAAAACGCACCCTGTAAATATATTAAAGGACGAAAGTTGCCCGTGTAATGCCCCTTAAAACCGATCGGTGTGACACTTGATGGTCGTATATTACAATATTTACTGTGGGTCTGGGGCGGACGAATTGCCTACAAACTCGTAAGCTGCTTTTCCCAAACGAAACGATTATGTTTTTTATTTATTTATTTTTCTATAACGTTTTTCGTTGCGCATTCGGCTATGGTGTTCACACGTTTTCTTATTTTTAGACAAAGATATTGCTGTACATTTAGTTAGTCGAATTGTATTAAAAAACATAATGTTCATCAAGGACTTTAATTTTCCTAATTCAATTTGTTTCTCGAAACTGAAAACTGCTATAGATTTATAATACAATCATGGAAGAAAAATTTATCTTAGTGTAATTCATCAAAGAACGAGTACAAGGCGATTCACTTCATGTATAACACTCGTATTCTATATCAATTTATGTGATTTTTTTTTTTTTGTGATTTGGAGTTCAATTGCCTAATATTTGTTGCAAATTAGTAATATTTTGTAATACTTCTAAACACAAGAATCTTATAATATTTTTAAATATCCACTTCATTCTGCTTTGGAAACCGAACATACACGTATTTATGAATAATTATTGTTTCTTGTTCGATAATATTCGATATTCGATTTTCAACCATTGACTGTTACAATAAAAAAAAAAAAATTCTTTTCGATACACGAACTTAATGTACAGTAGAATCCGCTTATAAGGATCTATAAAGAACCTAAAGAATCCGATCGCTATATCCGAAATTTGTTGTATTCGGATGACGAAAACATTATCTACGTGAGATATAAAACCAACAAAATACATGGAACCGTTTTATCCGGGGTATCGTTATATACGGCAACGTATAAGCGGATTCTACTGTAATTTATAGAAACACATTTACCAAGATGATGATGATAATAATAATAAATTATTTTTTCATTCATTGTTTTGAAAATCTCGAGTATAAGATTTTATACCCTATAGGGGTTAGATGACTTCAGATATTACCTGTGTATTATATTATGAGTACCATGCGTTTAGTGTTTTTTTTTCTTAATCATTGTTACGTGTGTCATTTTAATATATCTATTCCACCGTAATTCTGGGTGCAACTGTAAGCGACGAGGGAATGAGATTGCAAAATAAAAATTACTAACTGTACATACAGTTTATCGATGTTTTTAATGTTTCATATCTACATATTTGCTTGAGCGTTAGAAGAAAAAATACCACCGGTGTCTACATATCAAATTATATCTGCACGTTTGACTCCTACTTGACTTTTAGTATACATATTTCTAAAATAATTAATGAAGTTTTAAAACAATAAAAGGGTTAAAAAAGGACGCTATTGTGCATTTTTAATTAATACTGCCTCATACAAACCATTAAACTGTACACGAGTTTATTCATATTTTGAATATAATTTCACCATTTGCAAGTCACCATATCAGTCAGGTTTAATCGGATAAACAGAAAATATTCAACATCGAATTTTATGATCTATTTCCGAAATATCGTGTTACATATAAAATATGTATATTATAATCCTCTGAGCAATTACCCAAAGTTTTCTATATTAAAATGTTAAAAACAATGAAGAATAAAAATTGGATTTTTGTTGTTGTTGCTCCAAAATTCAATTGGTTGTCCATATTTATTATAAATTTACAAATGATTAATTTTAAAATATCTACGAACATTTTAAGAATAGTTGATTTGTTTTACCCTCATGTTTAGCAACTATTCGTTAAAAAATAAAATTCACCATATTCACTGCATTACATTTATAACAAATATGTTTAAAAATAATATTGATTTTTTTTTTTTTTTACAAGTAGTTTTATGAATTCAATAGATATGTTAATTTAACTCCAAAATTATAATGTACTTTAATTTTATCGTAATTGGACCTTGTATCCGTATAAATTATATAAATAAATAAACAATTTACAATTATACATTATGAAATTATACGTATAGTAATTGAAGTCGGGTTTTCTCACGATTTTTTTTTTTCCATCGATATGTTAAAATAATTATCAACGTTCGTTCTAACGAATTATTGCTATTCGCCGTATTATATAACATAATCATTTCCGCGTCATTAAATGAACACGTATACCTACCTATTTTATTTAAATTTGTAATTTATTTGAAATACACCCGGTCGATAATGGATGAAAAAAAAAAAAAAAAACTAAGAGGTTTTTGTTCTGAAACCTGGATTATTTTCGTTCTCGATCGTTTTTGGTTTTCCGTTGGTCGACGCGAACGAGTTTACGCCGTTTTCACGCGTAGCTCGTGGTACCCATATTGATTTTTGACTTTGCAATCATGCAAACGTGCCATTTTTCACGTTCAAACACTGTGTATTATAATATCGCGTAGAACCTACCTATGTTGTCGTACGGCGTAACTGCACATCACCGTCGGCATCCTGTGCGAAAATTAAATTTAGTCGACATTCGGAACAAAAGCATTCAAAACGTTTCGTTTCGCGTCATAAACTACATCAACTTTATAAAAAAAAAAAAAAAAAAAAAATAATAAAAAGAAAACCGCGTCACACGATAACATCGCGTTCGAGTCGTTTCAGGAAATATACTTTTATTGTAATCAACACACGGTTTTAATACGGCCTGCGTAATCAGTATAATATTATATAGTATTGTAATAAATATATATGCGCTTACAAAATATTTCAATGTCTGCACAAACGTACGTTGTGCTCGTAACAATTATTCCTTAACGACTAAGACACACAGGTATTTACAAAAATGATTTCGTTCGGTCGGCGGGCAGCGCACGCGTCCGTCTCCGTTTCGGCGCGCGCGTAAAATGCTGGGCCACGGTTTTCGCGCGTTAACCGCTTGTCGACGGCGTGGCTGCGCGACGAACGCGCACCGGAACCGTATAAATATTTGTACAAGTGTTTCCTGAGCGACTGTTCGTCGGCCGCGCGAGAATCGACGGAAAACGCTAGCGCACGTGCGTCGCGTAAAACGTGCACCGCGTCCAAGCGGTATTGTCGGTACGTCGCCGGAACGGACGCCCGATCGGGAAGGATTGGCGTTGTCGAGGGGTGGGTCAGATCTCTCGCGGCGAAGAGCGGAGAAGACAGGGACACACGGGGCGGATTCGGGTCCGAGAGGAAGAACGTCTGCCGCGTAAACCGTCTGCGCGCACGCTAGCGTTGATCCGGAGCGTCGACTCGTGGACTCTCTGCGAACTTCGTAAGGTAAGTAAAAAGTAAAGTAACTGAAGTGGGAACGGAACAAGCAAGCAACAGAGCCGTTTAGGGAAATAACACTGTGGCAGCGCAGTGCGGGGACACTTGAATAATGTTGTTAACCACGAGTAATTAATTGAAACGTGGAATACGGATCTATGGTGCGATCGGGGGTGGCAGGACAGCGCGAATGAACCGAGGAGCTCGGGTGCGTTACCACAGTCCGCGGTCGATCCGTAGCGAAAGAGGGAAGGGGGTGGAACGTCTTTATTCGCGAAGATTGGTATGTTTTACTTATGGGGCACGTGGCGTTGGAAATCCATCTGTTATTGCCTACATCACACGCGGCAGTGAATAACGCATGGTCGTTTTGATCGCTGTTTACGTTCAGATTCTATACCTGTGGGCGTAAGTACGTACCACGATGTTTGATTGACTATTGCGCGTTCGACCTCGTTTCAAACTCATGTACGCAAGTACGTTTGTCACCCCCTCCCCTCCACACGATGTTATTATCGGAACCGAATGATACACCACGAAGTAATCTTATTAGTTCCGTACACTTGTTGGCGGTCTACGAATACGGAACACTTTTTCAAATACAAAATATCACACTATGTAATATATATATATATATATATAAATAACACAAATCGAACAGTTCGAGTCGCAATGCGAATCGAGCCAAATGATTGGTATTTTTTTTTCCAAAAGAACACTCAAGTGGTTTCGTGTCGTATCGAAATGATTTTAAACCCGTCGGAATGGTGTGCGAGCGTAAGAGACTACGAGGCAATTATAACACGTGCGCCGAAACGGTATAGGGTCCTACATCGAGTACGCTACCCGTGCCTAAAACTTATTTTGTATAACATGTTTATGATAATAATATATAATACTAAAAATTAAACACACACTCTTGTGCGTGCGTTTGATCGTACGTGGTGGTACAATCGATGATCGAAGTGACTCGAGACAAGCGGAGGGACACATTGTTGCAGTGTTCTGGTAATGATTATCTCCTCTTACGTAATAATATTATGTGTGTGTGTGTGTGTGTGTGTGTGTGAGAATTATGGACAAAACGAGTGCGCGGAAAGATGGAAAACGTAAAAATTGAAGGGACGCCGTATACGTCCCCTCGTGTCCCGACCCACTTCGACCGCCGAGTGTACAAGACGCACTGCGGTATGACAATCGATCATCATCGGCCTCTCGCGTGTTCTGGCGCGTAGTCCTCGTAATCGACGATGACCGACGACGTAGGAACGATGTGCTGCAACGGCAAGTACAATTGGTCGCCGAGCAGATGCTTCGTTATCAGCAGGTGCGACGACGCAGCTCCGCGCTTGGCGATAAGTCCGCCCGACTCGACGTCTCCGTCCCCGTAATCCTCGTGGTCGCAATCCTCGATCCTGACGGGTTCGTTGGCCTGCTGCTGCTGCTGCTGCTGCTGTTGCTGTTGGTTTTTGCCGAACCGTCGGACGGTCAAGCCGACCAGGAAAAATCCCACAGCTGCCGTTAACGCGACGACCGCCTTCACTAGCACCGGCCCCACGTTGAAGCATAAGTAGAGCAGCGCGATCAACGATTCCGGCAGACTTTTCACTTCCTGAAATCGTACGAAAACGTGAACAATCATTGATTTTTTTTTTTTTTTAAGTTTTCGACTCGTCCGAAATAGTATGTATCGAGTACCGACGTTGTATCATTACAATGATTTGTCCAACATAGGCGTGAGCATAGATAGGGGTGGCCGGGTGGACCACCCCTCCCCCCTACGGACTCTGGCTTCTTCTTTAATAAATGTATATCTTTACTATACAAGATAATGAACATTTTTACATTTTACATGAATAAAGTAAAGCCAGTTTTAATCTTATAGTACAGAATTGATATCTGTGAATAAATGTATTAAAGTTATTAGTTATTAATCCGACTAATCAGAACTTGCATATAATATAAAAATTGAAGATGTAATTGATACATTCAAAAACTTTACTCCCGTAGACAGAAGAATGGAGTAGTAAATAGTACAATAATATGTAAATAAAGATTTCTTAGATATAAAATGTGTAAGTTTAAATAATATTTATTTTTATACTTGCATATTGAATTAAATGAATAATTTATAAGATTTAAAATATTTAATTATACTAATAGTCTTTAGTACAAGAATCTTTGGTTCACTTTTTTTAAGGGGCCCTCCTGCGGACAAAGTCTGCGCACGCCTATGGTGTCCAGGACGAAATGTTTAAAAGAAAAAAAAAGAGCAGTTGATAAACACGTGTATACAATATAATGAAGCATTTATTGAACGTACGATTGGTTTGACTGCGTAATATTCATTTTTTTTTTTTTATTGAATTTGCGAATCAAAGTCAAGTGCATCATATTATGTGACATGCGCATCTAAAAGGCGGACTATGTTCAATATTAGATTTGTCGAGCATTGTCGCACGAAGAAAGGACAATTGTTTCTAGAATTGAAAAGCTCTAAAGCTTCCTCAATAACTCTATACGGGAAATTAATTTATGAGCTTTAGCCATGTCGTTATAATTCTAAAAATGGGTTTGAAAATAGTACAATACAAAATTTTAAGACGATTAATGGTTTTTAGTTTGGTGCAGTTTTAATTTAAAAAGCTGATATGTCTGAGAGTTATAATTAAAGTCTTTAGATGTAAGACCGGAGGACGTTGAAACGTCCAAGTTAGACACGGTAGATGAAGTTTGTAATAATAGACAACCATTTCACCACTATCAACGTTCCACATGTGTATTGAGATTACGAAACTTAAATTACGAAATTTTCCAAATGTTTTACGCAAAGCCAAATATTTACGAAAACCAAATTTATTTGATTATTCATTCAAGGCAGAAAACATTTGGATTTATATTAAATTTTGACTATTAAAATTGAATATATATATTATTTATTATATATAATTATCATTAATAATTGTGAATATAATCATGTTTGTGGTTTTATAAACTTGAATTGTTCTTCAAAAAAAAAATCAACGGGGCTCTGTTTATCTTTTGATATTTTAATGCACTATGCAAATGAAACAATACCGGTCAGCTTTGAGTTTAATTTTCAAACCATAAAATTACTTATTTTACGAATGTTATATAAACGGTAGAAATAAATAACGCTGGAAAGAAAAAATTGTTGTATCTAAGAAAATTACTTTAAAAACTCGGAGAGCAAGTAAAACCTTGTGTTCAACTTTAGTTTTAAAACAATAAGAGTTACATGATACTTTTGGTGAAATTTAGCTAAACGAAAATCGATTTGAATATAGAAAAAAGTAGTTTTCAAATGTGTGCCTCTTTATTCGGCAAGGATGCCGCGCGGTCGATACAGAAACGATGAATAAGTTAATTGTGGTGCGTGAACAGCAGCAGCACTGTAGTTATTTTATTTGACGGAAACGTCGTGACTACGTATTATAAAACACACAGTATTGTAATTATTCACCGTTTCGCAGAAAACCGTAAAACGTACAACCGTTAATGTCCTCTTTGCATGTAACCGTTATCACATACGCACACATACACGTAATGCTAATATTTTTTCTACGTACAATTGCCATTCGATTATTACGGAAACTTTGAAAGTTGCGGTAGATAATAATTCGTTTACCAGACATTCCGCTCTTTTCGCCAACCTCTATTCGCTCGCGGCATGGCGGTTGAATAAAGATGATTTGTATACGTGAAACCCTTCAAGTTTTTTTTTTTTTTTTTCTAATAAAGCACGAAAATCCGTGATAATAGAATCGCACAAGTTATGCGCTATTGTTGAACACATGAATATTTCTATTTTAGAATTCGGTTTCCATACGGTTCCGCGTATGCGACGAGAAAACGGTTTTGGTTTTATTCATTTCATCTACTCGATCACAGTCGGGAGGAATGATAAACTTTGAACGTTTCAAATCGGTTATGGAAATGTATGACGTCCGATCGTTAAATCTGCACCCGATCGATACGCATAAAGAAATGGGGGAAAAGAAAAAAAAAATCGACGACGAATTTCTATCGATTCACCGACGGTTGGATCGTATTGATATTATTTAATCCACATGCATGTTAGCATACGAGTATGTACTGCACAATATTACGAACTCCGCGCCCGCCCACTGCGCAGCCCACGCGTAAGGTCTTCCTGGGTCTCTGGTTTTTTTTTTGTCCAGCCATAAAGCTATGGGAAGTAAACATTACGAGAGTTATTGTATTGGTATCGGCCGGCGTTATTGTCGTCCGCGGTTGTGCATAATAATGTAATATCGTTGGTATTATGTGGGGTTTTTTTTTTTTTTCATTTTACTCACATCCTTGACTCCCCGCAAAAGAATTACGTACACACGAGATAGCGCGGCCGATAATAATAATAATACTTCTTCGTTGTCGGTTAGTATTCGAAAATCTATTATTATTATCTGCACTTGCGACGGTAAAAATATGCGACGGCCGAATGTCAAGGAAAACCGCGTGTCTCCGTAAACACACACGCTCGTCCGGCAAACTTGCACTGCTTCTCTCTTTCTCTCTTTTTTTTTTTTCTTTCTCTGTGTTTCGCGTCATTATCATACACCCTTGTGGGTTTTTGAAACGTTTCCCCCTCGAGGAACTGTCTTCGAGTCGATTGGCCGTCGCCGTCTGATCAGCGAGAGTAAAACGTACACTGAACACGTAATGTGTATTATAATTATATATTATAATACTGTGTGAACGTGCACGAGTATACAGGTATTTATTATAATACACAGCCAACATCGGGTATCGGATTCTTTAACGTTTGCTTATATAATTATAGAGTATTGAAAAAATAACAGATCGTAAGCTATGAATTTATTATGTGTAACTAAGATTTCAAATCTTATTTTTAGTGCTGACTGGTGCTAATCTCTATTTTCGGTGTTATTTTTATTGCTTATATGCGTGAAATCTGATTTATTTCCTGTTTATAATTATTATTTAATTTTTTTTTTTTGAACTTTGCTAATGAAACTCGATAAAATGTTTTTCATTTTTACTTTAAACTTTTATGTTTCGTTACAATTTTAAATCAATTTTTTATGGATAAATATCAATTTCATCTTTAAACCCATAACTGAGTATGGAACTAAACGTAAATATGCACAATAAAGATAAAAACGAATTGTAAAAAATGTAAGTATAAAATGCATTCCTTTGTGGAACATTACAGTTAGTATAACTCAACATATATAAATATTTATTAAATTACATGGATAGAGTGTCAAATTTATTGTTTTACTATGATGGTTATATTTTCGGTGTATACATTTTAGACAACAAAACCATATCGAACGTTTCTAATTATACTTTAATTGATTAGAATTAAGATTCTGAAAGTGTGGTTTGAAAAAAACAACGTTTTACAGAATAATTAATTATATTTAAACTTTGATAATTTTCAATTAAATCCAAGCAAATATAATTTTACATTTATATTTGATAAAATTATTTCGAATCTTTTAGTTTCAAACTTAATTAGAAACGAAAATAACCAATAAATCATTATTTTGTGCTAAAATATCGTATAGCGGTCAGCTTAGTCGGATTTTTATAAACTTTAAAATGTACAGTTTAAATATTGTTGTGATGGAATGGGTTGAAGTGTATTGATTTTTAAATGAAAGTAGATATTGATGGTAATTTTTAACTCGGGACGTTTGATAAATCGACGCATTGCATGTTTTATATATTATTACTACTACGAAAACTGGTTTTTTCATAAAGATTGAGAACGGGTGTATGGGATATTTTTTAAAAAAAATGATAAGGAAATCGATACAAGATATATCGACGAATTCATTACATGACTCAATTACGTGAAGTTCTGTGTAACGCTGAGCAACAGTGTTATTGTAATACAAAAAAAAAAAAAAAAATTAAAAATCGTATCAATCCGACCTTCACACGAAACGGTTGTTCAGATGCATTACGATTCATCGTTACGTTCAAGAGTCTATATATAGAATATATAAATACTGGATGTATAGAATGATAGCCGCTCTATTGACCTACACGGCGTTCGAACGGACGATCCGGTACGCCGATCACCGGTGTTCTGTCTGAGGAGAAAACCAACGCGGCGGTACACTCGTTCTGAAATTTCGCACCAAATTTTTTCGTCATGAGATTTGAACTTGACGTACGGTTATCACAGATCGAGTTAAGTGAACCGCGGGTTACAACCAAACAGTTGTCAGAAGCGCTCAGTTTTAGTGTACACTAGTGAACACGCGGTATACCGCGCGCACACGCACACACATATTATGGTTCGTCACGTACGTAGTGCGATGCGTGCACATAAAGCGCGCGCGAATATCGTTAACACGAATAGAATTATTCGCGAACGCGTGCGAGAGAAGGTTGCGTGAAGTATAATAATGATGATGATGATGATGATGATAATAATATTAATACTAGTTACAAGTGTCTACATACGGATTGATCCATACATGAATATTATGCGCGAATGGTAAGCGAGAAAAAGTGTACACGTATTGCGACGCGTGTGCGGAAATCGAAAGAAAAGGAACACGCGGTGTTAAATATTTACACGAAATCGCGAATAAACGTGATTTCCGGACAAAACTACGTCCGGTGTGTGTGTGTGTGTGTGTGTATGCGAGTACAAACGCGTATTATATTATTTAGTTTGTGTGTCCGGAAGGTATAGGTATACGCGCGCATTACCGGATAAAAACGGATACGACAAGACTCGCGTTGTTTTCGGCAAACACGTTGACCTCTACGCATTCGGATTTGTTTCTTTTTTTTTTTCTTTCAAATTCATGATTTTTTCCTTACCCTCCCTCCTACGACGGGTCTCGTCGTATCTCATCTTCATGACGAGTGTTGACGGCACACACGTCCCCGAAGGCCACGGCGGTGTGTACCGAGTTGAATTTCATCAAACGACCGAGAGATACACATACCCGTGTACAACACAAGAATACATTATTATTGTTGTTATTATTATTAGTATAATTATTAGTATTATTGTCAAGACTTATAAGCCGACGATCTGTTGTTTTTTTTTTTTTTTCTTCATCGTTATTTATTACCATTATCTAGTGTGTAATATCGTCAAGAGCAACTGCACGAAAGACCATTGACTCGCTATTATACCAACGATATATTATAACATGGTTATTTTTTTCTTCTTGCAAAAATGAATTCCTCGTAGCTCAGAACTTGTAATGTAAAATTCATATATATATATATAACGAAATTTAATTTTACTGAATATATTACAATGAAGCCGAAATAACAGCGGAAGTTTTATATGAAATCGATTTCGGAAACGTTTAAAATATTCTTTCGGGATTTATTTTGTTGGAAAAGTTTGTCCGCGACCGGCAGTTCTTATCGGTAGACCAAATAAGCTTATACATGCTTATATACGCTGTATATATACAGCGGAACTTCGATAACTCGGAGTGCATAGTCCCTGAATTTCAATGCACGATTTGTGTGGTAAATTTTCTCGATAATTCGAATTGTGATTACTCGAGTTTCTCGATAAGTCGAAATCATTTGTATTGAATTTAATCGAGTTGAATCCTAAATGGTTTGACGTACCAAAAAGTTCCAAACGAGTCGAGTTGGGAAGAGTTGAATGTGGATGATGATGTGGGATTTCCTTTGCTTTTAACTACTTTTACGTAGGTTCACAGGTAGTACGAAAATATATTCGTGAACAACTATAAATTCCAGACGAGATTTTTTTCGCGCTCATCATAATTGAAAACTTTACAGATAAATCCTTACCAAACAATAAAAAACGATTACAAATATGTGATTTCTTCCAAAAGTAATCTTGCTTTACTCACTATTTTCTTGATTATTTACATATTAATTTTAATATAGAATAATTTTTGAAAATTTTAATTCATACATACATACAATAAACACGGTAAAAGTAAATAAATTAAATTATGAAATATAGTCTTTGTGTTGTACGATAAAATGTTTTTGATGACTCGATTTTTTTGTGCCCCCGACCGATTTGAATTATCGAGGTTCCATTGTGTATAAATTATGCTGTATTTAGGTCTGCATTAGGGTCAACAGGAAGTAATTCTCAAGCATTATGACTTTATTAACGGGTCGACCGTAATCCCGTGACTCGACTTTCCATTCGATTCAATTATTTGTTTGCAATAAGTTTTTTTTTAACATTTTCTCCGTTAAATTTCTTACTACCATGATTTTCATCGGTTTCTTTTTCCGTACCAAAGTTGATATTTGTAGTAAGAAAATTACGAGCTGTACTAATGGATATCTGCTCTACGTAACACTCATTATTATTATTTAATTTTAAACGTTGAATTACAGAAGATATTAATTTTATTGATGTTAATCGATAGCTCATTTTTAGACAAATTATAGGCACCCGGAGCGTTTTTTACTGGGCTCAGAAAACCTTGGAAAGTAATTTCTGGACACTGCTAATAAAAAATAAAAAAAAAACCAGTACATTTAATTACTTAATTATCTCTAAAGTTATTTAACCGATATCAATCAATTTCGTCCAAAACATATTACTCCGTAACAATTATTCTTTTATAAGTGCGAAAATAAATGTACGCACATTGAAAGTTAATACCAGATAAATATCATATTATGTGCATGTTCAATTAATTAATGGTATGTCTCTCGGTCAAGGTATTACGAAAGTCTTAATATTAATTAGTGATTACGTAAACACACGTAAAATGTATTAAAATAGAAAAAAAAATTGTTAATGTATATGAATCATTGAAACATTGAGTGTCATGTAAAAGTGTTAGCCATATTTTTTTATATTTCATTTTTATTTTTTCATTTAACTTTAACGTCACCTTACTCTAAAAACTATAAACACGTACCTTTACAATCACGGCAGTTGAATATTTTTTATTTTTTTTTTTTTGAACCTCATTTAACTCTGACTTTCATACGCTAACTTTATATTATTATTTTTTCGTAAAGCATGTGAACGCAAAGTGCATGTTTATTTGTATTACTATTATTTACCTTCCGAAGGGCACACGCAATTTGTGATTTTAAATGAAAGAATAATATACTAAATAATAATAATCATCGCTCACAATATTCCGTTGACGTTTAAACCCGTACGTCGAAATAAAATGTTTAAATAATGTTTTATTTTCATTCCCATAAAAGTTACAAATCTATACAACACGTTTTGTACGGGAGAGTCGAACATATTTATCTTGAGTATTATGACACAATATTGTATACAGTGGCATATTTAGAATTAATTCTAGGGGGGGGGGACTCAAAATATACAAGTAAAATTTTTGGTCATGTTTAAATCAGATAAATCTTTAATATTTGTGATTTTTTTTTTTTTTTTTTATCTAATTCCCGATTCATTTAGAATCGAATTTTGTGTAGTTATTTTTTAACACCTGTCTGTATTTTGAAAGTTACGCTTATGTTTTATTTGATTTTTCACTAATTATAGACCCGACAAAAAGCTCAATTCAGTATTTACAGCCACGCGTAATTTGATTTCGCTATAAAATGATCACCCCTTCGCCTCCCCTAAAATACGCCCATGATTGTATAGCTTATTTGGCTCACCATATTTCAAAGTTTTGCAAATAATATGAAATCATAAAACACACTTTCTATAATGGTTTGAGTTCTCGTAGTAGTAACAGGAAATTGATAAGACCCCAATACAATTCACGTTGGTTTAAACTTCCAAGTGAATTAATGTAAATCCAAAACCACGATACCTGCTCGTAAACCAGTGATTTTTTCGAGCATAAAACATTTAATTTCACTACTGTAAAAGTGCAATCATTTATCAATGCTTAAAATATCCAGCTCCATTAAGAATACTTTAACAGTATTTGCGCTGTTTGCATATTTTTAAAGACCATGGTCTCAGCCACTTTAATTTCCAGATAAACACAACATTTTCATGCTAATTTGACGACAAACCGTTTTGTCAATATTCACTTTTCACCGTAATCTACGTAATATTATTCAGTATTTCCTCGACAACACAGCATTGAAACCTATTGGTTGTTAATAGTTTTATTGCGGAACATAATTATAACTCACCAAGTGCAACCAACATATTGGTAGTGTTAGATCGTTGAACTTCTGGGCGCGATTCACGAATCTGGTGGCCTTTACGACTAAATTCAACTGGATCTTGATGTTCACTTCCAGCGGTATACCGAGATCCTGAAGGAAACATTATTGAAACAAAGCGTTTATTAATTGATTATTATTTCCTACTTAAGAAATGCCTATTGTTCCCTTTGTCCGCGACTATAGACAACAGTCGGAGTGTAAAAAAAAACTTTCTATGTTACCTACTGGGTATTATTTTTGGTTTGACCTTTTAATAATGATTTCAATAACATTAATGTTCTTTTTTTTTATAGTTACAGACTATAATTATAAATTACATACTATTCCAAACAATCTTTGTCCACGAATGTGGACACTTTAATAATAGAATAACATAAATTGCTCTTATTTTATACGCATTTTATTTATTAAATATTATTTAAAAGATATTCGTGCAATAGTATTGTAGTTAATGATTATTATATTATGACTAATTACATGTTATTAAAACAATAATTTTAATCGATTATAACCTTTATAAAATGTTTTCATATTCAAGTTCTGTATATAAAAAAAAAATTAAAAAATTAAAACAATTTTTAAATTTCGCACGAAAACTATATCTGAATATACCAGAAGTTCTAAAGAATTTTTCGTAGTGATGAAAAGAATCCGTTAGAGGTTGGGCAAATAAATTTTTTTGTTTAACTCGTTGCGTTACTCTAGAGAAATTTAAGTAAAGTTAAAAGAGATTTCTCATTTTTAGTAACTCATTTAAGTTATAATTTAAATATAAGATAAGATGTAACTAAAGTTGTTAAAATAAATTTGATTATTTTTTTGTTTCTGCTGAATAATATTATGATAATTATTTAAACCCATAATATTATGTACGTTATTTTTCCGATCCTTGCTTTCAACGGTTCCACCATTGTAACATGTTTTAATATTTTTAATCTCCTAAAATTAAAGTTATGAAAATAATGAACGAATTCGTTTAGCTGCAATACAAGTATACGGGGAAAAATTGAATTCGTTTTGTTGGAATATCGGTCTAAGCGAAAAAAAAACAGCCGGTCAAGAGTCTTTTTTACTCGTTGACTGAACATTGCCTCACGTCACATAATACTATAATGCACAAAGTGATTAACGTAACGTTTCACGTGCACATGTGCAGCAGGCGAGTGCTAAGTCATGGTGAAAAGTCCTGATGCATATTTTATTTCCAGGGGGAGAATGACGCGGACGGCGAACGTTCGTCTGCTGTCCGATGATAACACGTCCAGGGAAAAAACCTTTAAAAAAATATTCCGTTCCATACGTCCGTCCAGATGATCGTAATCATCGTTCTCCGCGCGTTACAATAAAACATAGGATTCGTTACCGGTTGTACGGCGACCTCGGACTCGTGTTTGCCCGCGTCCGGTGCGACCCCGTTGACGTTCTCCACCAGCGACGGGTCACCGCCGTAGAAATGTGGAAACGACACTGCCACGGGGATATCTGAAAAGGATTTGAAAGCGTTTTATTATCGTGCATCGGAGTTGAACGCGCAACGTTTGTCAATCGCCATTGGCGGAGGATCTCTTGTTTCCGAAATTATTCGGTGGAGAAAAACGAATTTCTTTGCATACGGTCGGAAAACACTCGTGTAATGTTTGTGAAATGAAAATCGTGACGTACGAATAAATTATTATACAGATATGGTTGTTGTTTAAATGTTGATTATAAAAAAAAATATAATGTTACAAAAAAGATCTTTTCAAATTGTTATCATATTTTTACACGAAATACTTTACGAAATCGGAATAGTTCTTACGTACGTTACACAAATAAATTTATTTTAAACAATTTTTCTTCGGCAGCGTGAACAGCATCAATTGATGAATGCGCGTAGGAAGTGTTTACAAAAAAAAAAAAAGATAAATAAAAGCGTTCAAAAGCAGTGCGACACACAAAAGAGATTTCATATTTTTATTTTATACATTTTCGTTGATCACAAAAGGAAGACGGCTCTCATAGGAGATTTTTTTTTTCATATCGAAGTTGAGTTTTCCGGTACCCGAGCGTTGCGAAATCTCATTTTGCCTCGTACGAGATTTTTTTTTTTCCACATCGAAGCTAAGTTTTTCGGTACCCAGACACGCAGCGAATTTTCGTTTCGCCGGTCTCGCAGCTGCTGCATTTTTCCCCGTCAACGTCCAACAGTAAATCCAATAATGGTTCTTATCAACAAGAACGATATCGGTCGCTTATCGACCGGTGGGAACAGCTGTGAACAACCGACCGCTGTGTTTACTCGGTTTCGTCCGGCCATCGGAGACGCGCTGCGCAACGGCCTATTGTGCACAACTTTAAGAGTGCACCGGATCAATAAACGCGTTAAAAAAAAGCAGCATCGCGCACCATTGCTGGTCAACGTATTGAACGGTTACGTTTGCCTACGTCGCGTTATTGCCGAGATAATAAAAACCAACAACCGTACCTACACGGACAGCTGTAACATGAATACGTTCTCGCAGCAAACGGTCCGGTTTGTTCCTCGATATTTGTACATACAAACGAACCGTTACGCGTACGAAACATAATGCACGAGTGACAAAAATCATCAGGATATAATAATCTAAACATAATATTGGTTTTAAATATGTGTGCGTGCACGTTTAAACGTATACGATTGTTTAGGTTTCTGTTTACCACCAATACCGAATAATAATAAATTGATTTGTTAGTTGTTATTAATTAATCAAAAATAACTTGCTAAGTGTATACGAGTCGTACAAGCGATAATAAGCGACCGTTTTTTCAATTTTGTCGTTGACCAAACAATAATATTGACACATAATGAGTAGACTTAATGTTTTTTTTTTTTTTTTTCCGTTTGGTAAAACGTTTTTTCGATTGATTGCAGTCGAATCGTTTTTAATTCATACCGACTTGTACGACCATCAAAAAAGTGATATACGATGTTCAAGCAATAATATTCTTAATTTATTGTCGACAAATGCTCCATTAATTGTGGACCAGAAGAAATATTTAAGAAGAGTATACGTTTCGTAACGATTTGTACGTATTTCTTTATTTTTCTGTTGATAATTGAAATCACGGTAAACGATGGACGACCGACAAGCCATGAGTAAGTAAGTCTAATATTCAATTCATGAACAGTAAGAAGATATCCGAAAATAAATATTGTTGGTGATATTGTTAAAAAAATGAAAAATGAAAAAACGAAACAAATACGTAGGCAATTCAGATGCCGTTGTGTTTCTACTATCAAAAAGTTTGGTGGATCGTAAAACAATTTTATCTTGTAAGTTGTACTACTCGTGGTTATCGTTGTGTTTCAAAAACGCACTTACTGTAGTAACACGGTGATATATCCGATAAGCCCGATGGCAAGCATCCGTCCTTTGGACAATAATAGTGGTTATCTTCCAAAGAAGAATTAAACACTTCGGGTTGGAACTTGTACAAGTACACCGGATACCCGTCAGGCATTTTCCCAGTGGAATCGTAGGTTAACGGCAAGGTTCGGCAAAAAGCTTTTCGGTAGATTGGGAAATTCATATCCGGTGTCAAGTGTCTGGGGAAGAGTATCCCCTCTGTCGCTTTTTCCAATGTAGGTCTGTAAAAAAATATACGTACAACATAATTATTTACATTTTTAAGATATTATCTTTTATTTCGGTTATTCCATTCTGTATTTCCATCTATACATCCAGGCGATCGAACGTATTTATTTACTTTTTCGATAGCGTACATAGTTAAGTGTTACGAATAAACACTACAAAAACCACTTGTACAAAAACAGGTATTGCGGTATAGTTTAAACATTTGAATCAAAAATGGAATTCGTTCGCAGTACACATATTGTTATGGTTTTATTTATTATTGTTGTACAATGATGTATATGTAATATAAGTATGTGTGCGTTATAACTACAATAAAAATATTTTAAAATTGTTCTAAATTGCAATGAAATATACATTAAAATTACATAGTATAATCATATCAAATATATAATCATAATTACTTACTTAAATAATATTAGGGACATTAATGTAATATTTATAAAATATAGAATTTTTCTGAATTAAAATTTATAACTATATACATCTCTAAATTGTGTTCTTTTTGAAAGTTTTATCGTCTATTACTCAAAATATGTTTATATAATAAAAAAGTACGTTCAACGTCGACATTTGTTATTGATGCATATTTAAAATAATTTAAAAAAATTTGGTGTTAAATATAAATAAACATTTTGATTTCCTGTCATAATCTCAGAGTAAGCTATAATAGTTTTATATCCTTCATTTTTTTCTAAGATTAATTTTAATTTATTTATAACTATTTTCCCATTGGGACCGGGATTATTTATAGAAATATTTTCAATTTCACTAAATATGTTTAAACTATTAAGTAATTGATTATTTGGTTCTTCTAAACTTGTGCGTTTTGTGGATAACTCAGATAAATATAACTTTAAAAATCCTAAACTACAATTTAACTACATGTAAATATTTACGTCGTAGTTATATTTTTTTTTGTAAAATCACTTTAGAAATAATAATTTGTATGTTTTATCACATGTAGTGTAAAAAAATTGCAAAATCGTTGAAAATTGCAAAAAATTGCATTATTAAATTAAATAGGAATACTGTAATTAGTCTGATTTCGTATACATATTTGATCAGATTTGAATTGTTGGGTATCAATAAAAAGTTGTAATATCTATTAAATTCGGTCTTAAGTTATAATATTTTATGAGAGTAAATTTAGTTATTGTTTATTTCGGGTGATGTCAGTAACTATTGTAAATTTCAATTAGCAGTTATGACACAAAATGTTATATACGTTGCAATAACTTACATTCGAATCTTTACATTTTTCATTTTCATCCGATTTGTTCCATTTTCATTAAGTATTGAGACTTGTTTCGTGTACAAAACGAACACGCAGGTAAAATTAATTTTTGAATTTATGCAAATCATCTAATTACAATTTAGAAGAATTCGTTTAGTACTTCTAAAGAATTGAAATGTATCAAAAGAATCTATTCGTACAAGTATGTATACGACATTTTTTTTTTTTTTTTGACATTATAAATAATGATTTGAATTCTTTTGATAAACGACAAAATAGCTCTCGATAAAAAAATAGAAATTGATACGATAAAATGTATGTTAATAAATATTTACATAACATTTTCACATCGAGTGTTACCAATAAATTATTATATAATACTAGCACGGATCAAAATATTTATGAGAAATATGCACCATCAATTTCTCATTGCTTAAAGTTTAAGCTTTAAACATTGAAATAAAAAAACCTTGCATCGAAAAACCATATCTTCCATTATATTATTTGATTTTGTAGTTGATCTAAAATTTTACGTTTGCTATACTACTAAATATATAATCAATTTAATTCGCAACTACACAATATTGATATTCTGTATATCATTTTGTTTGGTAAAAAAAATTCTTTTATTTTCTCTATGTTAACATTAATTCATATATATTTTGTACTCCAATAAACAGGTAACCATAGTGGTAACTCTAATTAAATCTGATTAAATGTTGATAAACTAAGAAAGCGTTGATTGACTATGTTATGTAATTTAATGAATTTAGAATCATTTGAGGCAAATCAATTGTTTTCACTGATTAGCACCAATGTCAATAACTGTTATTCGTATAATATTCGAATTTGGTTATTTCAATTTTATTTTGAAGGGTTTCATAGAACGAAATCGAAAATATAATATAAATACCTGATGCGAATAGGTTATATACTTAAATATATCACTCGCGGACGCGATGTAATATAACTTAAGACTAACTCGAAACATTTTTAGGGACAAAATAGTATTGATACAAATCGAAACAGTTATTTTCGTGGTGGAAATAACCGCGCGTCGCTCTATACGGCTGTAATTGTTTATCGGTATAGTTATTCTTACGTATCCGCGGATTCGTCATTTTTGGTCCATTGATGCAGCATAGGTGACCCGTTGAACTGATCTATTGTGTAAGGTCGTTTTTTCTGACGTTCCGTGGGTACAGCCATCGTGATGATGTTAGTCCCTTCGTCTAACATCTGAAAATATAAATATAAATATATTCATCCGACCATGTAATATGGTCACAGGATCGAACCGATCGGGTCTGAGACATTTCGAATACCCGTAGTTCTTTGGTTTTCAATTTTATTCCGTCCGTCAAACACTTCATTAAACATATAAACTTGTGCCGGGAAAATGCATATAAATTAAAGTTGATCGAATACATTTACATACGTAGACTATTTTAAGTTTAACCGATGGGGGGAGGGGAAGGGTCTTAACAAAAACGTTGGCGAAAAAAAAGATGATACGTATAAGAAAATTTAAAATGCGATCACCGATATTTAAATACCGTGTCAAAAAGTCTTGTACGAGAATACTACATAAATCGCTTGTACTCGTTTGTGATTATTATGCAAGTGTTATCATCGAAATCAAATGTTCAATATTCTGCCGTGGTTATACGTACAACGATATGGAAATTTATAATTGAAAACTGTTAACTACTCGTCCCTGCACTCCCACGCCTTTCACTACTGCTTAACTAACGCGTTCGCTAATCAAATACACTTCGTAGGTGTAACGTATTAATGCGCAAAACAATAATTTAACAAATGTAACAGCCTCGTGACCTGGCCGAGATGTAATTTATAACTAATAGTGAACTTCAAACTAAGTGTAAAAAAACTCGATGCGTTCTGGTCCGTATTGTATTATCAACTTTTTTCCATATGCATTTGGCTCGGTTTAATACACGTATATATATACATTTTTTTCCGTCCCGGTACGACATAAATTATAAATTTTTGTACGTAGGCACTGCAAAAAGGACATGATGTCAACACTTGTACGAATACACACACACCAAGGGCAAGTTAATATAACCTATTACGCACACAAACGGTTATTATACACGTAGACGGCCGTTTGAAAACTATACGACTTGTCGCGAGTGGTTATGAATTTTTGCAGGTCACATTCAAGTATGTGGTGAAGAGTGGGTACTCGTGTAAAATATGATCTTTGTACGCGGAAATTAAAATCGTGTAGCAACGCGGTATGGTTAATATATAAGGAAAATAAATGAAAATTTCGTAAAACTTTTTTAAAATTTCAACTCACTAATAAAAAAAAAACACCGAAGAAAAAAGGCCTCGTAACCTAACGATCAAGTATGACAATGCAGAGACGATGAATCATTTAACTTTTAGGTGTAACTCAATAGCACTAAAAGAACGAATACAATTTAAAAGTTTTGTTGCATTCCTTTAGACAAGTTTGTACGTTTACCGGCTGCAAAGCCCTAGTGACACTGAATATTTTATAACTCTAATGTAACTTCGTTTAAACAATTATTCAATAATATGTGTGAAATATATTATTCTTTTCCACTCGGCCGTACACTGACAGCACACAAACTAACTAGTGGACAAATCGTTACTTTATTTATATTGTTTTATCATCTAGTGACGTGTTATATGTGACACATAACAATAGTTAACTGTGATTATTCCAGGCGACGAAACATATAGGAAAATCAATACATCGGATGTACAAATACAGGTAATATTTGATCATATTTTAAAAATTATAACATTTTTACAAACGTCATTTACAGGCGATTGTTAACCTTGAATTTTTACACATTGACTATAAGTATATTATACGTGTTCACGATTATGTTAGAAACCAAAAAATAATACGAAATAACGTATGTAAATATACACACCTATGAATGATGTATAACAATTCATCAACATGTACATCGACACGGGAAATTATAATAATGATCTATAAAAATATTAATGCATTTATACCAAGCATATCAGATGTATATTACAATAAAATAAACGATAAGGTTCACTTATTAATTATAGTAATTATTTTTAAAACACTTGTAAATAATAGTTATTATACTATACAATAGATTTAATTTAATTTAATTATAACCATCCATTTCAAATGTTTGCATTGTCATGTTTGCCGTTGCTGAAATATTGTATTATTTTAATATTTAATTCGTCACAACGTATGTTATAAGTAGCAGTGCTTATTTCTAAATCATCTTCATAATATTTTGTTTTTACCGTGGTGAAAGATAATCATCATAAAGATTAATTAAACGAAAAAAATTAATAATTCACATTTTCGAATTAATTTAAATGTTACCGTGTATATAGTATAGTATGTAATAGAGATTAATAACAATATTATAGTATAATTACCCGATCTAATAGTCCAAACTTATCAAAGTTGATCCACGTGGGCAACACATTGCTGGCCATCTTCACTAAATTGTCATCGTATCCCCACAGAAATTCCTTTACCGACAAATTGAGCATCGGTTTTGAATCCTGGTATTCGACCAACGAATTAAACACCACGTTGACAAACATTGGCGAGTTTCGGAGCATCGAACTGAATCCCTGTATCACGATAGAATATTAGAATTACGCGTTTAGATTAAAACGCGTAATGTTGTAACAATGGTGGGAATAACGTTATTCGCTGAAATTGTTCACTGAATAATTCACACGTTTCACACGTCCGGTGAAACAATATTGTAAACATTAATATTCAACCGATCCTACTAAAATATTATTACACTGATCGGACGTAATCGGAAATTTAATTTTATGCCCATATAGTAATAGTTAAAGGTATAAATAATAATCCTAATGTAAAACTTAAATAGTATTAGTATTTAGTCTCTAACTTGTATCCTAATTTCCCATGTTTATGATCTCAGTTAATCACTCCGTTACCTTGGTGTAACCAGACGAATAGTTACAAATCGTTATGTATAAATTTCAAACTTCCCACGGTGACCATATCGTATAAAGAACTCAATCAATTACTTGATCAATAATGTTATTTGAAACGTAATTTCATAATACGATTAAGTAATCGTGGTGGTATTTTTGGAGAGGTTTTAAACTTATCGTAAGCGAAAGGAAACCGAGAAGTTGTTCGGATTTAGATTGCATCGGTAGATCGTGGCAGTTGCAAGAATAAGTTAATAAATTATCATTTTACAAAAATATGTAATAAATATACGTCCTAAATACACATTTCTATAGTTGTATAAAAGTTATACAGAATTATCTGACTACCAACAGCTAGGATTACGAGTATATTACTACAGATTAACTATTAGAGCCTTTACTCGTAAAATGCGATCAATTCAATAACTGCAATGACCGAAATGCTCACTGTGTCCACCGCTGCTGAATCATAATTAATGTTATGTCCTGAATTGGTGGTTGATTGTTAATTGCCGTCGATATTTATTTAATTGTGCTACGTGACCAACCGATTATTTCAACAATATGCTGTAACGTAATACGCAAAACGTTTGCAGAGCCATTAAAATATTATTAAAAGCGCACCGGCTACCAGACATCTGAAATGTGTCTGAAGACATGTAAACCATATCGAGTACAAGATGCATGTAGATATAACGTTTATTAATATATTGCGTTTCGTAAATAGTATAGCTAATGGCGTTTAAATGAGCAACAATTATCCTACAATATTTTCACGAGGTATTATTTCCAAGGACTAGGAAAATGTCTTCGTAATAATTAATCGATCAGTAACTTGTATGTAAATTCTTTCGGACTATAATAATTGTTATTATAATGTAAACATATATTTGTGCTGTCTCACGATCATCTAATCTATTAAAACCGATTTTATTATGTTTAAAATGAAACTCAAGCAAGTTGGCAAGTATAAAATCCGTTTTAAAATGTAATAGTTTTGCGTTTTCTATATATGAGATTATGACGTATTCCAATTAATCGTAATTAAAATAAAAAAAAAGTTACTAAAAAAAGTATCATAACAATGGTTTTCAGCTTATCTATACTCGTTTGGAAATGGTTCGCTGCTCGATTGATTTCGAAGATTAAATTTCGCGGAAATATCTAAAATGTGTCGGTTTTAGGATCAGATATTACTTGAAAATAATTGAAAATAAAATAATTAATTACTTAGAATAAAATAAAATAGACAATTAGTAGGTGGTTGAATAAAACGAAATTACGTGGCTTGTTAATTAAAAAAAAAAAATGATTGAATTGAAAAATAAAGGAATGATAACATATTCTACGCAAATCAGTTCAAGAGGAACATGTGTTATTCTAAAAACCATGAATATGATATTTAAATGCAAAACATTTTACAAGTAATATTTTTTGCTTTTCAATGGGCCACTAAAATTTGAAAACAATCGAAATTGAAGTCAATTGTTTTGAATAGATGTATTTTTCTATTTATAGAGTCGAATAATGTTCACGATTGTTATACCGATGACACAGCATTGACGAAAGAAATCAATAGTTTTAGTGCAGATTGTATTTTAATAAACCAAATTAAATCAGATACAACAACTGAATACACATAAGTACACTCTTCACATCACACCTGAATGTGTTGTACTATCACATTAAACAAACGACACGTACACGTAAGATTATATACGAACCATCCGTAAAGAACGGTTTATTTGATTCTGTGCATTCTACGTTTTTGTTAAAAGTTTTAAAAAATAATCAAAATGAAAAATATTTAAAACTAAAAAGTATTTATAGTAATAATAATAACCATAAAAACAAACGCGCCCATTAGATTTCATATTTTCTACGCAAACTTATGCAAAATTTTCAATCAAAAAATATTACTCTATTTAAGTTGTTCTAAAAAAAAAAAAAAGTTTCGCATAAGTTTTTGCCTGTTAAATTTCAGTTATGAAAACGATGCAAGGCAGACAGCATTGTTTTATAACGAACTATAATCAAATGAAGTTATTAAATGTATTAAATATTAATTTGTCCGAGCACCGTTAATTAGTCCTGCGCAAGTTTTAAAAACCGTAATGATATTAATTGATTATAATTTTTTTTTCTAACACAAAAGTATCCAACCACAACGGAAAGTTCAGGAAGTGTTGAACGTTTCGTATAATCTCGTGTTGTATCGAATCGTTGCCATTGCGGTCAGTCGAGCACTTATAATAATTACATCTTCGGAAAAGATGAAATTTATCGTATTCTTGAAAACCGCCTGCGTACGTTGCGCTCCGAATGTTTTCGACATAGTTTTGCACCGCGCAGGCTAGTCCGAAATAATAATTATTTACCAGCAAGGGGATATTGGGGATGATGATTCGGTCCGTTTCGGGATCTCCGACGGACGACGAGAGTTCGAAGTGAAGTTTCCTTCTCGGAATGTACGTTATCGTGTCATTGCTGTTGAACGTGCAATTCGTGTTCTCCAATTCCTCCCTGTAAAAAAAAAATAAAAAAAAAACGTTACATCAGTTGGACACCGCAAAATTGAGACATTAATTGAGACACACATAAATTTGTAACTCACGGTTTTCAGTACCTACGTCTGATTACCGTAAATAAACGACTAGTTGAAAAACTGATAGTTACACTCCGGGCTAGTTCCGGGCATGTTTGTGTACGCGTCGTATATTATGCACGTGAAGCATCCGCGGAACGCAACGATAATGATAAATAATAAAATTATAAATAGTAAACGGTTTACGCTCGTAAATTAATATATGAATAAACAGTTTACGCGCGCATACCTAAATAAATAAATTGGTAAATGTTTGGCCCGCAGCGATATTGTGATTGCAATGTACGACCGGTTTCGGATTAAAAATTCATCGTCCGGTGTACACGGTTCAGTAGTAGTACCAGCGGAGCAGCCCACTCGCGCCCATCGCATCTTTTTTTATAGTCCATTTGAGCCAGAAATAGTTTTAACGAAAACCCGTACAACGTTGCCCAACTGTATTATTTTACGATTGCGCGCTCGTACAATATTATTTACCGATTCAACTATTTTAAGTTTTTTCGTTACGTCCTTTTACCGTCTGAAAGTACTACCACGCGCTAGGTACACCTTCCCGTGTCGCACAACGTGCACCAGGTGTATCAGAGCCGTAACTAGGATGAGGCGATCGAGACACTTGCCTTGGGCGCCTGAAGCTGGGGGGCACATAAATATTAAAATATTTATTTATTTTGAGAAATGTTATTTTTTGTTTTGCCAAAAACCTAATTACAACTTTTCAGATTTTTCCGAATCGTATTACGCATATTAAAATCTGTGAGTGTGACAACCCTACAACTTAAGGGGGGGCATTGCTTCAGTTCCGCTTCAGGATAGAAAATGACTCGGTACGGCACTGATGTGTACGTACAACGCATTGAAAACGCTCATAAGTAGTCGGAATTTGATACTACGAAATTAAAATCCATTACACGCTTGTTCCATCATCGTATCCGTGCGCTCACCGAGTTACTATGTTATTTCGTTTATTTTTTATTTTTCTATTTTCAATCAAAGGACCGTTGTGGAAGAGTACTTGCCTACAGCTGAACGTACGTGCGCTTTATGTATTTAATATTAAGATCGTGATAGATTCTTCAAATTTCTGTATTTTTTCCGCGCCCGAAAGCTCGCGTTGCAGAACGGTCGGGGAACTCTTTCCGCAAGAAAACCGATCGGCAGACGCGAAAATTATCGAATCGACTGCGCCTCGAACATACGGAACACTCGGAACGCGGTTGATATTCATAAACCTAACGGTAACACACACCGTTGGTAATTAATGACATCGTTCGTGGCCGCAACAACACTGACTACATGATATCGCGGAAATGGATGCCGATATCGAAGTTGACTGTCGAAATGTTCGATCAAGTACATTTTTTCTGAATAATACACAAATATATTTTCGAATCGGGGATAATATTTTGAGAGCAGCTTTCGGACATGAATTATTCACTAATACCAGGAAAAAATAGCTTTCAAGCACTTTAAATGTTGTGCGAGAAACGTATGGCTCGCTGCCCTTCAGACAATATCTGGGCTTCGGAATGTGAATGATCCGAACAATCTAACCTAACCCAATACCTGTCGCGTTACCGCACGAAAACAAATCCTGCGAGTCGTAGTGGTTTGGTAGATGCCAATATCCAGGGATGGATTTAAGGGTAGGAGTGTCATAACGATAGCTCCACTTTCTCTTGGGCTTTTTTTTTTTTTTTTTTTTATCACAGATTTGTTTAATATTTTTGATACATGTATACAGATATACACAATAATTTTTATAAATATCTACTATCGAATACTACCTACATCTTTGTATAGATTTCTTGATGATAAATAATGGTAATCATATTCAAATTCACCTGACCGTTTTACGTAACTACAAGTTAAGTCACTCTCGGGTTAGTTACTCTCGGGTGTTCCGTTTATTAGTACGTTTGTAGTCGGAATGTATACAATAAATACCATAATGTCCTGAAACGAATCCATTGGAAATGTGTATTTTCTTCCTACCGTTTCGGGTTTACTGATAACATAGTAATATGTTGTTTATATGTAATTCCATTATAATCTAGTGTAGGATTGTGACTTGAATTACATTTGCCGGTGTTTGTTATTGATCAATTATTATAAACGCAAGCTGATCTATCGATTTTGTCTACAAAGAAAAAAAACTCGAAGTGTTCTCGTCAAAATCAGGCTACGTGAATCGACTGAAAATAATCACTGACCTTAACTTTGTTACCCAACAATAAATCAGCTTGTTTGCAGTATCTGATACGCGGACGTCATCTTACAACATTATTATGCCGTCGTGACTATATGTGTCTACCAGTTTATCTACTATAGTTTATGTCTGCCTAGTATTACAGATCTAAACGTAACAGTAGGTTATTAGAGAATTTTTATTATTCATACTATACATTAATTTACATCAACGCAAATAACCATAATCGAAAAATTGTATTTACTGGTCGAAATTAAAATTGATCAGATAATGTTTAATGCAAATATTTTCAAGTATAAATTAAGTGTCTCAAGGTTGACTCGTTTCCCGAGTGCTCGTCATGAATATATAGCAGTCGTGAATACAGATGTCCAAGTGCTCGAGTAAGTAAGCAAACTATCGATAAGTATATTAAAACAACGGGTTAAATTATCCGTCAGGATATTAGTAAAATTTAAATTATAATATAATATTCCGGCTATAATTTTTTTTTTTTTTAAAAATCATTCACAGCTCGTAAAAAGAAAAAATTAAAAATAATGTGATGTTACTACGAAAATCCCCACAATCTTACAAATAATACAACTCTTATAGTTTTGTTATCATAAACTTTTATTTAGAATTTAATTGTGTGCCTTTAGGTTATTTATATAATATTAGCGTAAATATTTTAAATCGGACAGTAAACAACCCGAAACCAAGTAGCTCTAGTGAAATTAGTGATTATTTAAAATCGTTTAATTCCGAGTTCGATATCAGCTGAGGATTTACAACGGCATAATAGTGTGTTCCGGGCAGACATAATGTGCACTGGTAAAGTGCGTCGTCTACTGTCCAACAAAGATACTGACTTAATTAATTCTAATAATTTACACTAATTATAAGGAGGCCATTTGGTAATTATCGAAGTCGTTATAAGTTAGTCTTTTGTTTCAAATTAGTACAAAGTACGTCGTCTGATAATCGATTTACTAAAGTCACGTATACGCAATGTACCGTAAACACGTACACAATAAAACATATTATTGTACTGTTCGCCTACTCGTCGTGTAAACATACTGACAGTACAATTGTTAAGGAATTTCTGTTGGACGACAAACGATTTTTTTTTTTTATCGAAATAGTCAATGTATAATAGTATAATGGTAGTATGTTACGTTCGCTTCGCAAAATTATTAAAAATAAATCTTAATGATTGGCAGAAATAGTAAAAATCATCTATAATATGACAATATAAGTACTGAATTAAATACAAACGTATCAATTGCATATAACTTATTTTATTTTTTATTAATATAATGAAAAAAAAAAATCTGCTTTTCACAATTAATTGTGTTTCTCCCATTAAAAAAAAAAAAAAAAATACTCTCAATTATACGACGAAATAATTTCACTGGACGAAATTGTGTCTTTTGGTTAACTAGTTTAAAAATGCACCGCATACTGAAGTACGGTTAAAAGGAGAAGGGATTTTAAAACCATTTCGGCCAAATTACGTATCACGTATATAATGTTGGAATGTACCTCATCGTTGGTGGATCTAAGTGGAGAAGGTTTTTCGAGTACAAAATTATCCCTCCGCCAATAATATGATCATATGATATAATATATACATATCATCAATGTAAATCCCCATTAGTTTTTTAACTGCATTCCACGGAGCAGCGTTTGGACCGATCCATAAGAACTCCGTGGATACATCGTCGATTCAAATCCAATACGAGAAATAATTACTATCGGTTGTATATATTTTTGTGTAGATTAATATTATGGTTATTTAAAACATAGGCTGCCAAAGTTGAAATACTGGAAAATCAAAAAAAAAAAAACAAGATGCATGTTGTTCATATTAAAACTTATTGATTCGTTAAACAGCGGATGTGGATCTAGATACGAAAAAAAGGAGGAAGGGCTAGTAAAGTGAGTTATTGTCTTAATTCGTTGCGCATGTCGATTTGTACGGTTTATTTTACGTTTAATTTTATTAAATATTTTTATTATCTGCGTCCGATACGGTTCTAACTAATATCTAAGGGAATGGTACGACTTCAGACTCCATAGCCCCCCTTGTAAGCGTGCCTGCTAAAGGTACGGTTTCCTAGACACGGCCTGTCGCCGCGACATGTCGTTAGTAACTGCTTACACGAAAATCATATACCCTAACCTAACCGGTTCGCAACGAGCGACAAACCACGACGACCGAACTTTGGGTCGCGACGACCGACGACACTACTGCTCCGGGAGCAGTACTGCGCGACATTCACAGCGATCGTAGTGAATTTTCAGCATAATGGCGTCTACTTTGGTTTTTTCTTCGTCCGACGACGAAATTCTTATTCAAGGGGTACAAAAGAATCCGGTTCTTTTCAATATTGATAAGAATTTCATAAAATCCTTCACTGTCCCGATGTTCAAATATTTCATGTATAGGTTCTCTATTTTTTGGCAATGAAGTAGCACCTATAATTTGGTCTTCTTCTTCTAATAAAAGCGTTAGAAGAATGTTATTATTATTAAAAATATAACTATTCGTTGTAAAATTAAATGAAAAAGATGTGCGTACTCGAACAAGTTTGAAAATAAACTAAAAACGTATGTTAACTACGAACGCTTGAAAAGAAGTTCGGCCGCTGCGACACGTCGCGGTCTTGGAAACCACTCTATACGAAATAGGTCGCGACGACCAGTCGCGGACATCGACCGCGACGACAAGTCGCGGCGACAGGTCGCGTCTAGGAAACCGTACCTTAAACAGTATATATTTTGTTTAACGATTCGATCGATCAATCTTGCAATCACGAAGCGTACGAATCGCAACGAATGAAACGTGTTGAAAAACATAAATGTTCGTCGGAGCGTAACGATTTTTCACGAAAACAGTGGTTTGAATTTGACGTTTCAACTCTGGTTCAAACGGAGTGCCGTGGGTTCGGGTGTACGGATATCAGCGTCTCGAAGGGTCCGCGATCGAAACGTTTCGACGACTGCCGATTTAAATAACAGCACATTATATAACGAAGCTGGCAGTCACTCCGCACGCAACAAAATCAACGCCTTGTACAAACAACGCGCAAAGGACATGATTCGCGAGACGTCGTTGGTTTCGGGTTTGATCTAATAAATCGGGTTCGGCGCGTACACGGCGTTCACGTGTTCGAAACTTTGGCTCTGTCGCGCGGTTAACACGAAATTCGGTTGTTTTCGGAAAACGTGATGTTTGCCTAGCCGGGAAACCGTCGGCCATGTCAAACATTTAGAGCAGGCATGTCAAACTCAAAGCATCAAGTGGGTCATTTATATTAAATAGTTTATCACGCGGGGCCGCTCGTAAAAATGTAACGAATACAAATTTTTCTATTATTATTAAATATGCGTACGTATAAAACCATCGATAAAACTTACTCGATTAATCGGAATATAAGACATAATAACGTATACCGAATACGACAATTTCCAAGGGTTTAAGATAGTGGCGACTTGTCATTAATATTTTATAATTTTTTTACCGTTCATTTTTTATTTTGTCGATTGATATTGGTAGCCGCGAATTTGACATGCCTGATTTAGAGGTTCAAGCGAAAACCGAAAAGGTACGGACCGCGTCACGGGGACCGTTTTTGTACCCGGGCCGGGGCCACGGTGAAACGTTTAAAACCGTTCCCGCGCTACGGATGGCGGAGAGTACAAGTGTTTTACTTCGAGATTGCTGGTGAAATATATATATATATATATATATTGACGAAATGCAAATAATTCATATGCGGTTACGATTCGCATACTCCGTAGAATTTTAGTTTCTCTACCATATCAGTAAACAAATATTTATGTGCATCCACGTTTTTTTTCTTTCGATTTTCTAAAATAAATAATAATATCCAATAATTCAATTACTATTTGTATATACTTCAAAGAAGCAATAAACTAACTGAAATAGTTCTTTTTTTTACATTCCGGTAGGTATAGATAAAATACTGTTTTTTAGACTGAGGTCAGAATAAAGAGTAGACAAAATCATTTTTTATTTCATATTTAAATGGGATTTTTTTTATAATCAATTTTTTCAACCGTTCTTAGTATTGAATTTAATTAAATGCACTAATGGTGTTTTTTGATTTTGTGTGAATGACATTTTAAATACTTGATTAATATTTAATATTTCTGTCATTAGATATCAGAATATATGCGTGTCAAACTTAATAATTCGTTGTATTTATATAAAATGAAGGTAAATGTGTAAAAGTCAATAATTGAAATTTCAAGTTTAGATTTTGTGAACGATAACGTTAAAAATATATCCCAAAAAAAAAAAAAGTGCTCTGAAATACGAAAAAAAATACCAAATACACTTTTCTATTATCACGCAAAAGTACACGAAACGAATATGTGACAGTACTTTGATGTTTGCAAAAAACAATGCATAATACATCGAAATCCCAGGCCTACTTATTTTAATGTATACGAAACCCGAGACCAGTATGTTTTATTTCTTCGTCGAAAATAATATGATGGAATGTTCGATGTGGTAAAACGTTCGTCCAGTCGCGTTTATTTGAAAACCACTGTGTTAACAATACTATTTACAATTTCATGCTTACCAATAAACATATGGTCCTATCTCTTGAACGTTCAATTTTTCATCTTCGCCCTCGAGGAACCTATCTGCGTTGGTCACGTTGAATATGTACACGCTGACGTATACCTTGACTGGAGGTTTTTGCCATAGTTGATACGCATACGATTTGTCAACAAATTTCAATTCCTATAAAATCAAAATCAATTAATTTTACCAGTTGTATTCGATTTAGATTTTAAAACAAAAAAAAAAAAAATAATAAATATTCATGTTTAGGTGGTGATGATATTTTCAAACGTGTTGCGTAGCCGCAATTGTTCGTTGAGCTACAAACGATGCCCCCCCCCCCTTATTCGTGGTATGAAGGAGTTACAAGAACGATTATCATACTTTAAACCCAACGTTTTTTTTTTTTGCGAATTAATACCTACATCAAATGTTCGATAGTCGTTTGAAAACAATGATTTTTGTCAAATATAAATTAATAACTATTCGTAGTAGCCAAACGTGTAATCAGTCGCGTTTATCGTGTATTCATAGATTTACAGGTGTACAGATGGCTACTGATCACGTGCTTAATGTTGCGATTACGATATGGAAAACAATTTTATTTCACCGCTAATATTGTAAATTCATTTTTCTGCAACGCATGACGAATTCGTTAAAACCGACGGACCGAAATTCAAAACATAAGCACATTCTATTGTTATGTTTAAATATTGTTTTGCAGACAAATAACAATTGGCTGTCGTACCAAATCGTTGCGAGATACGAATTTTAAATGATGAACGACGGAAAAACGAGTCGGGCATATACGATACGTTTAAACGGTATAAATTTCCGGAAAAAAAAAAAAAAAAAGACGTTCATGTACCGAATAACATTACGAAGCGGAAAAATTTGTTGTTTCCTGATCAGAAAAAAAAAAAACAATTATATTTGCGATGATATAAATCGTCAAAACAGCATTAAAACACGCCGGTGTCAGTACGTGTAATTAATACATCAGATCGTGTTGATATTGAACACATTTAGTTCGAGTGCTTATAATAAATCACGTTGATATTATTACGTACACGAAATATTAATTTATCGTAGTGGAGTCTAGCAATTATCGTACAACACAAATTATTTATTTATTTAATTATTCATACAAATTTAAGGCTGCGCGTACGTGTCTATTCAAAATTTATTACGGGTCTTGTAAGACGTATAACGTTTCAATTATTTCGTTTTCAAACAACTATGCATTAGTAGAGTAGGCACACCGGCAAGCGATATTAAAACCTTGTACTGTGGTGTCCGATCGACCGCAGGTCTTAGCGCACATGATAATGTAATTATTTCCCGCGATAAATCAATTTAATATTTTATGATTTTAAAACGAATACTTAATATTTATTGCGCATTAATCAAACCGTTTTTTAAATCAAATACATCGCGTTGGGCAACGCACCGCAATGTAAGTGAGTCAATAAAAATCAACTTGTGCTAAAATATTGTGCAATTAAATATAGTTTCGCATATCCGATTTTTAAGCCACACACATGATGGCTAATATCTGCGGAGCAAAAACGATTTTAATCGCTGATTGTTTAATGGCCATACCGTCCGCGAGTGAAAGACGCTCGGACCTTTAAGATCACTTAAACTTCAAAACCAAGGCGATTGAGAACGTTCTGTAATTAATGGCGAGGAAAATAATTTCAAGAACAATAATAGTAATAAATCCGGTGAAAAATTACCATTCGCAAATCGGTCGGCAATTAGCATAAAAAGTTACAAAATTCGTTTTAGCACCAGTAGTATTAGCGGTATCAGATACCTAACCCAGTAGAAATAGATCGATACTTATTAAATCGCACGAATTGCTCCTTGAGCTATATGTATAAAAAAAAAAACAACATTATAATAATGCGAAACCGTTTTCATGATTATATCCTGAAGCTCGATCGCAGAAACGGATATGGCGCGATCAATTAATTACTCAATTAACATTGTCCTTTAAATGGTAACGCGTAATATTATTGAATATCCGCGAGTTCGTGTTTAAATGTACACCGAGTTGCGTTCATGGGCATAAATAATGATCAATACAATACGATACGCGACCAATGTCGGTTTGCGAACAGTACTGCGAAATATTCCAAAACTGTAACGTAATAAATAATTTTAATTAAACGTGTGGACGGTGTAAATAGTTGTTGTACGATTTTAATATTCGTGTAAAACGATATCCGTCAAATCGCGAACAGTTTTACAAGTACCGTTAAATGTTTACAAAATCGGATGGTTCGACGAAATTTACCGAATTACCCGGATATCTATTCAGTTGCACTCGATATTCTAATTGTTTTGTCGTTTAAAACTGCTAACCGTAGAGGGCTACACGTACAAATATTGTGTTAACGGTCGTGACCGCTATTTTTGAATTAGCTAAATCGGAATGCGAAGGTTATACTAATAATTGTATTATTCACGTAAAAGCGTTCGACCGACCGGATTACGTTATTATTATAATTAGTGTTGTCGATACTGGAGTAATACGTTACGAGTCGTCGCGATACACAAAAACCTGATCCCTTCGCTCAGCGTACCATTGGGGTAGGTATTGATTTCGAATTTGTTAGAACAATATCTCCTATTCCTGTGACCCTTTGCCGCGTTTCACCCGAACAACCCCCCCCCCGCCGTGCATCGCAGTTTTTTCCTACCGAAAATGAATCGCGACATAACGCACCACCGGTAATTGTACGGTTTCGAAATATAATCAACGTGCCCGAGAAGAACTGTTAAAAACAAAGTTTAAATTACGCGTCGAATACGAGTGACGTGCATCGACGCTAGTAAACGGCATCACGTGATAACTGTGATTTACGTGCGATCCATACGTACCGTTGATTTGATGATCTCCACCGGGTCGAAGTAGAGCAACGCGAGCGACACGATGAGCAGACCGAAACCGCATAGACCGTACCTAGCGTGTCCTGAAACAACAACAACAAGGTTAAAAAATCAATCGTCAACTCGCGCGCGCGAAACGTTTGTGCGCACAATACCGACGCGCGACATGTCTCGGAGCGTACATCGTTCCCCGCGAGACGTTCGCAAAGCCGTTCCGTTTCAGCGTCTTCCTTCGGCCGCCGGCGCCGGGCCCTGACCAACGGCCGGCAACGTGACCGCGTACCGTTTTCGAACCGAACGCGCAACGTGCATCGTTCCCCGGACGATTTCGGATCGGATTCGCGGCGGGAACGGAGAGGGTGAAAAAAAAAAAAAAAAAAAAAGGGGGGCAGAAACGTTCTCGTCGGAAAACGCAAACGGTCTCGGGTCCGCGGCGGTGCGTTCGCCGACGGCCGGCGATCCCGGTCGGATCGAAGCGATTTCCGTGGACCCGACGGTCGCGATCACCAAACAGACACAATGGACGCGCGCACGTACCGGCACTGAACTGAAAACGAGACGCGTAATCGTAAACACCGGTACGTGCCGGCACGTTCGGCGCACGTCACGCGGTTAGAACCCGTCGAACCGCGTGCGATCGTTCGCGGTGATTTCGCGCGAAATCCACGCGCGTGCCCAACGCTTATCCCGCCGCCTTTCCTCTAGCCGGATCGCGCGTCGAATACATTTGTACACCGTTCGACGTCAACGGTCGGCGTCGTGACGCGCACAACAACGGTCCCCGTGCTGTGAAATCCGAACGGTGTCGAGTACGTGGCGCGCGTGCCGTCTCCGTCGTCGTTCGATCAGGTGTTTTACGTTTGATTCACAACATCATTGCGACCGACCGACCGACATCGTCGTGTCGTTCGTTAAACCGTGAATACCGTTCGGGAAAGTTCAAAAAAAAAACCTTGCCCGGACCAGCGGTGCGAAGACAGTGTCCAGCCGGGCCACGTATTAACGTACCATACGTTGCTGCACGACCGGTCGTTTCTGATCGGCTCATTTCGAACAGCGCGCTATTATCGGTTAATCGATCATCATAACATTGCATTAGTATCAGCTGTTATCGCAACGGTTATTAATAACAGAAATATTATAGATACTAGTGATGGGCATAATCCAATTATTAGTATTCGGGGCGGTATGGTAAATTTTGCAAACATCAACGTGCAGTTATTATACATTATGATGAAACGCCAAAAAAATTTCCCTCCTGTTACTCCTCGAGATAGACACGAAATCGCTAAGCTATGCTAGGAGATAAATCTCTAAAAACTGATTTTTTTTTTTTTTTCAACCGTTTTATGTAGAGAACTCTGCGTACAGCCGGACCGTATCGTACGAATTCCACTAGATAAACAACTCTGTCGGCGAACGTTGGCCGTTCATGACGAATTCGTCGGTACCCGATTTCGAAACAATCAAGCGACACAAAACCGGGCTGTAATGTTTGTATTGCGTTTGCGTACGTATTGCGATTTTTCCATTTTTTAACTCGAGTTACTGTCCTAGCGCAGTGCGAAAGCACCTTAGACGTGTTGATATCGGTCCGCGAATACGCGGCACGCACGTGTCGCATGTTTTCGCATCGTTCGTTACGAGTTATGCCCGCGGACCCCTACCGGAACGCGGTCACCGCGGAGACACGTGTCGGACGTTGTTTTCGTCACACATACCCGTCGAAACCGCCCGACGAATCCGAAACGCGGTGTCTCTTTATCCGATACGTTCAACCCAGAAAATATTTTTACCGGGTGACACTTCAGTCCACCATCGTGGTTCGTAGATGTGGTGTTCTTCTGCAGGGGAACGTGCAGAGAAAATCAACTCCTGTCACTACGTAGAATGTGTTGGTTGGTGGCACGATCACCCACCACCGGTAACATTCGATTATCACGATTATCTATTTAGTATGTTAAAATATGCTCTGGTTCAACCGGCGAAACGCGTGTGCTCCAAACCCCCGTCTCGCGTTCTCGCACCGTCGTCTCCCACGTTACGACGTTTCACATTTTTTTATCTAACAAATCGCTCGGGAAGTAAAAATAAAACAATAAGCACGCACGTACCGGTCTCGTTATCGACACGTTCTGTCGAGCACGATTTCGTTCGTTCGCACGAAAACTTAGCGCAACCGAACGATTCTGAACTTAGGTCTAGTTTGTAATTTTGATCGTGTGATTCGACCATATTCGTACGTTCTACCTGTAGACCGATTATATACAAGTATGGCAAGAAACTGGGCTTGAGGCATTGGCGCATTTAATATAAACGCGCCCCGGGGCAAAATAATTTTTCCATCCTTCCCATCACCAAAAAAAAAAATATATATATATATATATAAATAAATTCAAAGTTAAGCATTAAAAAAATAATTTTTATAATTAAATTATAAATCAGTTGTTTTGCGATATTGTATTAGATAATTTTATAGTAATACATATCCTAACGTTAACCTTATCTTTTTTATTCTAACTGAATATTCCTTTCATAAAAAAAAATGTATATATAGGTTAAATATAGAAAACAGGATCAACACTTATTATATGCACAGTGATTAACAATACATTGTTTTTTATTAGATTAAATATATTATATTTATTACTAATTATACCTACATAATGAAATAGGTCGCAAACGAGTTGCGTCCCAAATACGGAGTTGTATCCGATGGATTTTTTTGGGTTACACGAATTATGTCCCAAAAAATAAAATGTACAGGAACATCTACAATAGTTGTATACACAAAGTAATACATTTTCCAATTACAATATTACACATATAATACGTAGATAAGATTTTTCACAAGAATAAATTACGTCATAATCCATGACATAGTTATCCATTAAGTAAGTTGCAAATTTAATAACTTCGGAATTATTTGAAACATTACATGACATCAAATTAAACACAAATGCATTTTCTATTTCATCTGGATCAAGAAATGGTAAACCAAAAATGTACTTTAAAAATTTGCTTATTTCCAAAGATTAATCCTTATATTTTGCTGATAAGCCGATTTCTTGAATTTTTCGCCACCAACTTTGATCAAAATGGATGCAACAGCCTTTAATTTCTATTGATGACCACACATTGGCGATTGCAAAGTAAATTACTATTTAAAAATCTACAATAATACGTGACATATGTACACCTTAACCTTTGCACGATAATAAAGTATACAAATAGTAAAACATATTAAAATATAAATTTTTGTCGGGACATAACTCGTGTATCGTTTTTTTTTTCGTCGGGATACAACTCGTGTACTAATAATTTCGTCGGGAAACAGCTTGTTAACTGCGATAAAATAATCGATAACTTATAATTTTTTTCTTAACTTTTGAGAAGCAAAAGTTTCAATAATATCATTAAAATTAATAGTTTTTGTTAAATCGGCTTCGATGTTGAGGGTTGCTAATGAATTAAGACGATTTTCTCCCGTTTTTGATCTTAAATAAGTTTTGACCCTTTTTAATGTAAAAAATGATTTTTCCGTTGAACAATTACTTGAAGGTGTACATTCACACTTGAAGGTGTACATAGTAGCAGCATTAGAGCAATATAAATATAAGGATATACTTCAACTAAACTATTCTCTTTTATAAATACTAACATACATTGGACATTTATAGGTTCAATTTTACTCTTTTTGTAAACTTTTTATATGTGCCCTAAAGCGAATACCGCGTTCTGTGTACCCGAGTCTTTATTATAAACATTGAACGAAAATATTGTATCTTATCGAATTATGAATGTAATATACTTATTTTGCTATTTCAGTAATACTTAGATAACTATGTATAGTATAACTTTTTTAATTTCTTATTAGATGCTCAACAATATTTTTTAAAACACTTAAGAATACCGAAAAAAGGTGTGAAAATTAAAAAAATCATGAACACATTAATAATAAAAGTTAGAATATTTTATTGCCCCCAAAAATTTTCCGCTTGGGGCATTTGCTCTTTTCGCCCCCCTTAAATACGCCACTGGCTTAAGGCCTGAGTCCTGCTTCTCAACGCCCGCCTTACACGCGTGTACCGCGTGATGTTACCAACACTGCACTTGCCAGTCTAACCATCGGTATCTGCATGACGCGTATCGCGACACTCCGTAGCATCATCGATTTCGCTGTCGAACTATTAATTTGATCCACAACACAATTTACAAACGTGTATCGTACACGATGCAACGCGATATCGCTACGAGAAATGATGGAGAGTACGCGCACATACGGTGAAAATATTTGATCGGCGATATCATGTTAACTGTGTGACGGAGCACCGGAGAAAAAGGATGGAAAAAATCAAGCAACAATTCCTGAAAGTTTTCCATATTTACCGGAAACATTTTGTCAAGACCACTGACATATATTCATTACGTGAAGCGTACTCGTGTAACACTATAAATGGTATTTAAAGTGCATACGGTCCAACAATCGGAAAAATGGAAGACGCTGAACATTTTTTTTTTTTTTTTTTTAAAAAAAATACAATTATTTATCTGCTAAGACATCGTTTTATTTATTTCGTAGAACGGTTTCATATTATATTAATACAGATAAACCGTAAAGCACGAATATAAACACGCACAACGAAGGTTAGGGAATTGTTGACATTTCTACGTGATAAAAACAAAACGGACGTTAACAATTAAAGTGTTGAACTCCGTTTCAAACACGTTGTGCCGAAATACCAAAATCCGTAACCCTAGTTATACATAATATGCTTAAACGTTTATCATCCATCGCGTTCATCGCTACCACTGCGTTCTTAACGCATTTTTACTGGCAGATTATCGGCTTCCAAAAATTAACATCAGATGACCTCTGCGCACAACTACTCTCGGTCCTAATTGTAAAACAATTCGTTTCCAATACATGTGTACACACGAACCGCTCATAATATTGCTATGCAACGAGGAAGAACTTAACGGTTAGTTCTTTGTTTCAATTTGCTAACCATACGGTGTCACATCGCGCTCATGCATTATACATAATAACCAATAATATAATACACATGTACACATCATAACC